CCTGGCAGAGTGCGGGCTGCGCCCTGGCGCTGCACGGGTGGTCGGGGGGACGGAGGTGCCCCTGGGGCGCTGGCCCTGGCAGGTCAGTGTGTACCATGGTGCCCAGCACCGCTGCGGAGGCTCGGTGCTGGCACGTGAATGGATCGTCACGGCGGCTCACTGCGTGCACAGGTACCTCTGGGCCCTGCCGGGCCCAGCTCGGAGCCGCCGTGTCTGCTCTGATCCTGGGCCTTGGTGCTTGTTGCCCTGCAGTAAGAGGCACGCTGTGTGTCTGCTCAGTTACAGGCGGCTTCCGACCTCCGCCTGGCTGGTTTTCGCAGGTGTCATCACCCACAGCTTGATCAAGCAAGAGGCTGGGGTATCAGTGAAGAAAATAATTTACCACCCGCTTTATAATGACAACAGCCTCGACTATGACATTGCTCTGATGAAGCTCCAAGTCCCCCTGAATTTTTCAGGTAAGATACTGTTGTGATGCTGTTGAGCCCTTCTCCCATCTGTGATGTTGTTGATAATCACAGAATGGTTTGGGTTGGAAGGGACCTTCAAAATCACCCAGTTCCAACCCCCCTGCCATGGGCAGGGACACCTTCCACTAGACCAGGTTGCTCAAAGCCCCATCCAGCCTCACCTGGAACGCCTCCAGGGATGGGGCAGCCACAACTTCTCTGGGCAACCTGTTTCAGTGCCTCACCATCCTTATTGTAAAAAAATTTCTTCCTTATATCTAATCAATCCTACAATTAAGAGGTGGCCAAAAACCAGCCTCTTCTGAAAGTGCCATTTCAAAGCAGCTCTTCAAGGCTATCCAGCCTGGCACTGGGGAGGCAGCATGCACAGCAGCACAGGGTCTTGAACTGTGCCAGAGCTGTGAATTCCTGGGAAAGGTGGCTGTTGGAGCTGAAGTCTCTGGAGTGCCTGGCTCCAAGAGCCCTTCCCTTCCGTGTGCCAGGCTGAGCAGCTCAGCAGGCTGACAGCTCTGCAGCCCTTCCCTGGCTGCTTGTGCTCAGCATGGCACAAAGCTGTCCTTGCCGGCCTGGCACTTACTCTGTCACCACCTTTCCAGATGCCATCCGTGCTGTGTGTCTGCCACCCTCCCACCAGGACCTCTTCCAGGGCGCGCAGTGTTGGGTCTCCGGCTGGGGCTATACCAGACCAGACCAAGGTAAGCTCCCCCCTTGTCCCTGCTGCTCAGCACTGACCGGAGGCTTTCCCCTCACTCTCCACTGGCCCTTTCCAACCCCTTCCATGCCACATGTGATCTCGCAAATGCCCCCTCCTGCCTTCATCCCACCCCTGCTCCAGCAGCTCTGCACCCCACATCCACAGCTCCTGTGGGCCTGGCCGTACTTAACCCCGTAAGGTAATTAAGGTAATCCCATCTTTCCCATCTCCTGACTTCCCCAGCTGGTGCCCTGCTCTTCCCCTCTTGCTCACCACGTCTTGTTTCCCTCTTGCCTTCTCTTTCTCCCTCCCCAGCGCAGGTCACCGAGACACTGCAGGAAGCACCCGTTCCCTTAATCGGTACCAAGAGGTGCAATAGCTCGTGCATGTACGCGGGTGAGCTCACCGCCAGGATGCTGTGTGCCGGCTACCTGCGTGGCAAAATAGATGCGTGCCAGGTAACAGGGGAGCAAGTGCCGCACGCTGGGTGCGCACCAGGCGTGAGAAGGACTGGTATGTTTTACATCCCCGTCAGCGCTCGGCTTGGTGGCAATAGCTTGCACTGAGCAGTCTGTGTAGGGTGGTGCTGGGCCTGTTGCATTTTGTGCTGCAGCGTGGACCCCGCGGTGCCCAGGAGCACCGATGCTGGGCTGAGATTGAGCTGTTTTTATAGAAGGAACGTGGAATCCTTGCAGGGTGGCACATGCTGCCGCTTGCAACACGCGTTTCAGCTTCAGAACGAAGCCATGCGGAAGACGCCAGTCTGATCTGTGCCCCCGCTGCCAGTGGGGCAGAGCTGCTCCGTGAGCCCTCGCTCTGTCTTGCAGGGTGACAGCGGGGGCCCCCTGGTTTGCCAGGATGAACTCGTGTGGCGCTTAGTGGGCATCGTGAGCTGGGGACAAGGCTGTGCTGAACCCAACCACCCTGGGGTTTACACCAACGTGGCTCAGCTGCTGCCGTGGATTTACGCCACCACTGAGGTACGCCGGGGCACGCCAAGGCGCGTGCTCAGCCTGACCCGCAGCCATGCGTGTTGCATAGACAAATCCCAATGCTAGCGTTCTATTTTAACTCTTTCCTTCACTACCCTATGCTCACCCTTGATGCATAAACCTCTGGGACAACCTCTTATGGTACTGATTCCTTTTTTTTTTTTGACTAGATCTACTAGAAATAAGGCAAGGAGAGTCTCCACAGAGCAACGCTTTGCCCTTTCCACGTAGTAACTGGAAAACAGTCCAGGACTAATTTGTACTGTGTTACTATATCCCTAACAGAATCCCCAGACAACACTAGAAAACATGCTCAGTATAAATAGTTTATTAAAGAAAATAGCAAATTACATTTTTGTGAACAATCAATGTGGGATTAGCGGTGTCTCTCAAAACACACGTTTTTTGGCTGGCTCTGTGTAAAGGGGCAGGGGATCCCATGAGATGCGTGTTATGGGAACACTCTCAGCCGTCAGATAAATTACTTGGAGAGGAAGAAAAGAAAAAGCTAGAGTTTTAAATGGCAGTCAGATTTTGCTTCAATATCTCCCTTCTTTGCTGCATTCCTATGTGCTGGACTCAGTCTACCTGCCAATTTAACTGCATTTGCCCCTCCTTATGCTAGTTAAAGCCAGAACAGAAGCATCTTCTCACTACCTGCTGTGGCTGTGCTTGGCTGACCACGGCCAATGGCACAATGGCCATTCAGTTCTGCAATGACTTAGGTGGAACGTGAAAGCCACCTCTGATCCAGGCCCTGCCCAAACGCTTGGAAATATGAACAGAAGTTAGACAAAAGTGTGAATGAAAAGGATACAACGGTAGATAACAGATTGAAACACTCAGCTCTCTGATCCAAACTTGTAAGCAGGATGTAAGCACTGCATGGTAGGAAATACTTGGTTCCATGTGTGCAGCAACTGGCACATCTTGGCCTCTGGGCTGTTTTAATGAATGCTCTTGGTGAGTTTTTCCATTAAAAGAAATGTACGTTTCTCAAGGTCTCAAACTTTGCCTTTTGTAACTTCAAAGATAATGCTGTGAGTGTGCACTTCATTCCCTTTTTACATTCATTTATGTTTCTTTCATTATTCTTAAAGGACAGAAAATTCACTACTAGAAAGACAATGGATGCTAGACCTACCTAGTTCACACGCAACAAAAAGGTAAAGGAAACAGCTGAACTGGCTTCTACCGGCAGTAAAGTAGGACTGAAAAATTCTAAGTCAGTTTTAAGATATCTTCCAAGAGAAATAAAGCCATGAGGAATTTTGCCACTCATGCAAAAACCCTGTGACTTGATAAACAGTTCACTCAGAACAGGATCTCCTCTCCCCCCACTTCCTGCTAAATTTTCACTCTTGAGGTCTGCTCTTCAGGGAAACCTGAGGTGGGAAAGAACAAAGTTTGGCACTTCAGCATTCATAGAAGGATATCAAAAGCTATCAAAGTCTGTAGGTTTCACATGTAATTTGCAGGGACAGGAGAGATAAGACACAAAGGGGCTACATGCCCCCTGATGTAAAACTGCATAGATAAGATTCACTACTGAGAAATGAAAATCCTTCCACAGACCCTTAAGCCAAGCAAGCTTGAGATGACATTATACAGCACCTTGCACGAGAGGCCCATCTTGACAGCAGTGCCTCTTCTCATGAAGAGATGCTGGATGCAAGACTTGATTTATTTCCCTATGCTGAGCTTAATAGGAAGATAAAATCCTAGAGAACAGAAATTAGCAAACATCACAAAAAGCATTTCTTCGCCAGGGCTGTACACCTGCCAGCTCATGAAGGAAAACTTGGATCTGGGCAGAACATCTCTGGGGAGCAAGGCAAGAGTTTGAATTTTCAAGCCCAAACCCCATCTGCCTGGCAGATGGAGCATAAGCAACTAGTGTCCATGTGTTACCCACCTTTGATTTTCTGGTCCCGGACTCAGAGCCATCCTCTTTGTCCTACAAAATATTGAGCTAGGAAATATTTCTTCTCCCTTAGTCAAGTTTCCAGGAAGCACTTACCTAATGCTAAGCTTTTTTATACAAAATAAGAAGGGTCAAACCAGAAAATTTTTGAAAGACTCAGTTTGTTCTTGCTTTATCAGAAGATGCAACATGTAGGAGTAAACAGTTACTTAATTTTGGCCAGTGCTGCTGCTCTCCTTTCTGTGTTCTGGAACAAAGCTCGGATCAGACTCTTCACTTCAGCTGCAGAGAACTCAGCTGCAAGAGGCCCCTTCCCATCTGCCCACCTGTGTGGGAGAGAAAGATCTTTATTTAACCATGCTGTGCAGAAATGTCATGTTAAAACAAACCACCTGAGTACTCGTTACTGTAGTAAGCATGAAGGCAAAACAAACCGAGTTAGCAGCCTCCTAGCGGTAGCAACTTGAGTCTAAAATTGTTTAGCAAGGTATATAAAGCACGAGGGTGTAAGGTGATATTTTTTTTTCACTCATTACAAACTGTACCTTTTCCTTCTCCAAAATAAACCTAAAGCCTGTCTGAAAAATTCCTGTTTGCCTTCCAAACAGCAGGAGGAAAAAGTGGTTGATGCCCTGGCTGGGAACCTTTGGTGTCTAACACAGTTCCAACAGCAGTGATGTGCAGGGCACAGAAAAGGAACTGCCTTCCCCCAGTGCTTTGTGGGTTCTCCATGGCTTGGACCTTTCAGTTTAGCCTGCTGAGGACAGCATATCTTCTTGCCATCCAGCAGTATGTGTGAGGCTGCTGCGAGCAGGAAACGTCTACCTTCTGACAACTCGTGCCAACTAAAGTAACAGAAGTAATGACGTGAATCCTCGTGTAATTCAGGTGAATCCCCCTTGCACGTTAAAAGAAGGAAGAAGTAGCATTTAAAAAGCAGAGACCAATCACGTGGAACGATCAGCGCAGCAAGGCACAGCTAACACGAAAAGACGTGGGCAAAACGCCAGGCTGCTTACTGTGAAATACTTCTGCACTTAGAGGAGCCAAGGAGGATGCACAATCGCTCTGTGGTTGGCTCTCCCATGGCACTTGGTTTTTTACTGATAACTCTTCCTTTGCAGGAGGAAGCTGAATACATGAGCAAGACTGAAATGGCTACAAACACAGCGAAGAAACGGCCCCAGGAGCAGTTACCTGGTCCTTCATGGTGACTGCCTGTCACCTAAACCGAGTCCCCTGAGTGCAGTGCCCTGCTGATGTCAGACCACTTCCCAGCCCCCTGTTACTGGGGTGAAGAACTGACTGAAAAAGAAGAAAGGAAGACACCTACTGATCCACTATTTCTTGGAGGTTGGCTTGCAAGATGATCATCAGCTCTTTGAATGTCATCCATTTCTGCACGTAGACTGGAACTTCCTCTTGGTATTTCTTATTTTTGTCATCTTCAGGTAGTGGGGTGAAAACTCGAGGTCCTTCCTCCACCATGGTCCTACAGAGGGAGTACAGCCTATCTGCATCTTCTGCAGAGATATCCTAGAATTGAACAAATGTTAATGGGGAGCAGTTAGACATGTTTTCAGAGTGGGAAGCAGTAAGTGAAATGAAAAAAAGGTGGCTCTGTGTGTGTGAAGATGAAAGCAGTGGTTTAGATCATGTTTGACAGTGATGAAAGCCAAGCTTTTTGGCAGGCACAGCCTAAGCAAGTGTCTTGTAAACTAGCCGTTATGGCAAAAGAGGATTTTATTGGCCTAATACACAGTCGGGAGGCTCTTTGGCTGTAGACTACAACTAGAACAGATGCACTAACACTTCTATTGTTTGCTCTGAAAACATAATTTAAGAAATGTAATAGGATAGCTGTACTTTAAGAAATACAATAGGATAGTTGTACTTGATCTGAGGTAACCTGATAATCGTTTAAATGGGAGTCAAATGGAGATTTAAATAGATAAGAATTTCAGTTTGAAATGCCACATGTATTTTGGCATCTGGTGCCTAGATAGGATGGGGAGATTTGTTACAGATGCAGATTGAGACAACAGTTAACTCCTGTGCCCTCAATAAAGAGAGATTGATTCATAGAAATGTCTACAGTGGGAACAACACAGTGAAATTCAAATTAAGATGAAATCATGGGCACTTCCCTCACTCTCACCTTGACTAGAGTTATCATGGAATCACTGTTAAGAGTACATATGGTCTCCACAAGATGTGAGTTATTGGTGTCTTGAATGTTTCTCACTGACAGGACCACAGTTAAAATTTCTGTGAAAGATAACTGTTTCCCTGAAACCCAATCTTGGAAAGAACTTGTAGAGATCATAGATGCTAGCTGTTCATACCACCCTATGCCTGGCATGTCCATCTCATGCAGTTACCTCTAGGGCAGCAATCCTAGTGACAATCTCCGAGAGAGCTGTGTTCAGTAAAGTCCCCATAGCCTTGCAGTATACGTTCACTGGAAGGACATCTTGCCAGACTTTTCCCAGTCTTTTCAACTGATGCAATACCTGGAAGATAACAGCTATGTGTTATCTGCATGTTATCAAAAAGAACACTGAGAGGCACCAAGTGATAAGGTGACTACATATGGTCAGAAACCAGTTTGAAAGGAGCAAAAGGCAATGAACTACCCTGTCGTTGTGTAGAACAGGTGTTCATGGGGAAAACATGCAACGTTTTCAGTTTGCATTAAGGCTCATCAGAAGTGTGACAGACCTTTTCTATGAAAAATGAAAAACATTATGAATGTACTAGAAACAAAAGTTCAAGATTAAGAAACTTTTCATTTCAACTTGGAGCAAGAACAACTGAATTCAGCATGCTTCAATTTTACAGAAAGGCACAGCCCAGGGGGAAAAAAAAATCATACCAGAAACTTGTTTTGAAAAGTTCCACTCTGCTGAAACAGTTCTCAGGTCTGGCATTACATACTGCATCTTCCCAAGGACAACATCTACAGACAATGGGATATTTGGTTTTGATTGCCTTGCTTACCTGCCTTATTGCTTTGCTTGCTGCACAGTAATTTTCCTCATCATCCATATTAGAAAAATTCCTGGCACTTGAGAGCCTCTCCAGGATTTCTCCTTTCTGCACTCGCATCTGGGCCAGAAAACACTCCATCCCTTTAGGAGCAAAAACAAGCAGAGAGAAGCAATTAAGCAATTACTAAATTTGCTCTGCCAATTTAGAGACTGTAAGTGCTGAAAAATGAACTTGCTATTATGTTTTACTTTTAAAGGAATTACT